GCATAGATCTTTTGTCCTGCTGGTGCAGGCTTGCAGGCTTTCATCTTTGGGCTTTCCCAGAGCACATCTGTGAAACAGACTTGCATGCGGCATTGTGGTAGACTCTAGACCTCTGGTTAGACTCGTGGGGGGCAGTGTTCTAAGCTCTAGGTCTTCAGCTGGACTCATGCAGGACATTAGCCTGGGATCCAGGCCTTCAGCTAGATTCGTTGGTTCTTTAGAGTGTGGACAGATTTCCTGTACTCTTTTGAACTTGACTCTGGGTGACCATTATATGTTCTTATTGTTTTCTTCCCTTGCAAACCCTGACTACAACAAGTTGGGGCTCTTTTATTATGGCAAGTGTTACTAAACGTGGAAATAAGCATATTTGAAATTGATGGTCAATATAGTCAAATGTGCCATTTTCTTTCCTTTCTTTTTTTTTTTTTGGCAGAACTGGGGATTGAACTCAGGCCCATGTGCTTGCCAGAGAAGTGCTTATTCTACTGAGCCATCTCCCCAGCCCTGAAATATGCCATTTTCATGATTGAATTCGTAATGTTTCTGTAGAGAAATTCAGTAGGCTGACAAATTATGCTTTTTTTTTTTTTTTGGTACCAGGAATCGAATTTATGACCTTGCACTTGCCAGGCAGGTGCTTGTGCTCCTGTGCTATATCCCTGGCCTTACATTCTCTTGTTTGCCTTAGCTTCATTTCATTTTCAGGCACAAAGAAAGTTTCAGCTTAATCTTGGATTTCTATTTGACCATTGTTATGGTTTGTGTCTAGTAGTTCCCCTAAAGTCTCATGCAGTCATGGGGTGGCTTCTAGAGTTTGCGATTAATTCATGATCCAGTGCTGGGATTATGGGTGTGAGTGCTACACCTAGCCTAGGGTGGATAGCCTGAACGCAATATAAGGAAGATAGAGAGATTTACCTCTGCTGCTGCTGCTTCTACTCTTACCTTTTTGCTCTTACTGTTTTGCCGTTTTTATATCACCATGAACTGCTGCCCACTGCCATGTACCAGTATGCTTTGGAGCCCAATGATTATGGACTGAAACCTCCTCAAACTGTGAGCTAAATAAACCTTTCCTTTCTTAATTTTGGGTGTCTGGTATTTTGTTACAGCAATGAGAGCAAAGTAACTGAGACAACCATTTTACTCTGATAAACTGTGTGGATCTTGGCCTATGCCAGTTTCCTGGAAGCAGGAATCTGCCTTCTGTTTCTTTCCTTTTGGTCCCATACTTTATCCTGCTTGTCTTTGTTGGGGTTTTTCCCTCAATAACCAGTCACCAGATTCTTTTTTTTTTTTTTTTTTTGATGTAATTAGTACAGGGTCTTTAGGGTATCACTACATAGATCGGACTCATAGTGATTCTCCTGTTTTCAGCCTCCTAAAAGCTGGGATTACAGGCACATGCCACCGTGCTCAGTCTCAATCACTGTCTCAGTGCACCCTGGAGGTGGGGTTGGCACAAAACCCCAGTCCCTGCTTCTGCCTAAGCAGGTGCTTTAGTCCGCTGAGCTATCTGGCCGCCCCCCCCTTTTTTTTTCAGTATTAGGGATCGAACTCAGGACCTTGAGCTTGCAAGGCAAGCACTTACTCCACTGGGTTATCTCCCTGCCCCCCCACCCTTTTTGCCTTTTTGAGACAAGGTCTTACTGTGCAGTTAAGGCTGACATTGAATTCACTTTGTAGCCCAGGTTAGTCTGGAACTTGCAATGATCCTCCTGCCTTGGCCACCTGAGTGCTGGGATTACAGGCATGTGTCCCACCATACCCAGCCTTAGATTTCTTCTTTAAAGTCATTCCCAAGGGAAATAAGTTCTTTTTGTGGGTATGTGCAGGGTTTTTGCTGTGTAGTTCAGGCTGGCCTTGAACTCTTTACATAGCCAAGGCTGACCTGGAACTCATGGCAATCTTCCTGCCTCAGCCTTCCAAATGCTGGGATTATAGACATGCACCATCAACCTGGCTAGTGAATTCTAAAAAGGGAAAAATGCAAAGAAAAGGAGTGATAGTCCCAGGTTAATAAAATTCTTGCACCTGTCCAGCACTTGTAATTACATCTGTTTTGGAGGAAATGGAGCTAGACAGCCATATATATGATTAGGTTAAAAAAGAAAGCTTTGGACAACCCCTGAGGAAAGTAGTATTTATTGCTAGAAGTCTGGGTGGGATTTGTCTGCGTATGTGTGTTTTGTTTTGTTTAGTACTTTGGATTGAATTTAGGACCCACTCTACTGCTGAGCTCACCCTTTGCCCTTTTTGTTCTTTATTTTGAGGCAGAGTCTTGCTAAATTGCCTCACCTGGGGTTATTAAACTTGTGATCTTCCTGAGCCTACCAAGTAGCTGGGGTTACAGGTGTGTTCCTAGCTAAAGAAGCTTTTTGTGGAAGCAGCCACTTAAAGGCCTGAGCTAGGGCCAGGCCCCCTAAAGAAGCTTTTTAATGATAATTTTAACAGTGGTTTTTTTTGTTTGTTTGTTTGTTTTATTTTTATTTATTTATTTATTTTTTTGCAGAACCGGGGATTGAACCCAGACCCTTGCGCTTGCCAGGGAAGCGCTTATTCTACTGAGCCATCTCCCCGGCCCCTTTAATGTTAATTTTAAAAAGTACAGTTCCACAAAAGCTTTTTTGGGTTGGTTTGTTTTCTTCAGACATGGTCTCAGTTTGTAGTGTAGGCTGGCCTTGAACTCACTGTGTAGTTTAGGATAGCCTCAAACATGTGGCAGTCCTCCTGTCTCAGCCTCCAAAGTGCTGCAATGACAGGCATATGCCACCATGCCCAGCTTCGTAAAAAATGTGTTTTACCTTGACTTTTATAAGGTAAACATTCATCATTGAGAATGTTTAGTATTGCATAGCTGCTCAAATCAGAGAGTAATAATGACTTTTCAACTACTGCTTATGTACTTTTATTAGTGACTTATATATACATATATGATTAGAACATTGGCATAGTTTATAACAACTATGAGGACATAGGTATAATTCATTGACTCTTAAGAATTTTACAGTGTTGTCCTGGTTGCTCACCTAAAACAGAAGAAATTTATCCTTAACCAACTCTTTATGTTTAGCTTTCACATAGTAATTGCTGCTTTATAGCAGTTATTGTTAGTTTTATCAAAACACTAGGGTCATATCCCATATGATGAAGAATGAAACTGGGGATGGAAGTAGGATACAAGCAAATTTATTTAAAAGATATAAAGGCAAAAAAGTAAAAGATATAAAAACAAGGAAGTAATGCTCCTGATAGCTGGGAGGGTGTTCTGAGTAGGTACACATGAGGGCTTTTTTGTCTAGGGGCTTTTAAGAGATTTAGAAGGGAAGTTGGGCTGTTCTGTAAGCAGTGTAATCTCTACTTGTTAGGAGACTACATATTTTTTAGGATTTAATCAATCTAGTGTTCATGCAGTGTCTGTGTAAGGCTCATGTGCTCTTGAGCCAGTATCCTGCTTGATCATGCTCTTGGGAGGTACTAGACAGCGGAAGGACAGATGTTTTGTAAGGGCAGATGTTTTTTAAGATACCTGGAGGGTTGTGACTCAGCAGACTCTGTGTTGGGCTTTTTGATTCTATTTAGGGATGTAATAGAATCCTAATTCTTATTTCACTAATTTCTGTTACAGCAGGGATTATGCTGTTTCTTCTGGGCATCTCATTTGATTTCTGAATAATAGCTCTATTTGAAAATTCTGCCTTGAACTTCTCTCACTCTATTAACTTTATCACTTATTATGCATTTGTTCTGGTAGAGTTGGTCCCACTTCTGTGAAAATACTCTTTAGTGGTTTGAGGACATATAATGAGAGGTCTCATTACCTTTTGTTTATGCTGAATGCCCTGTTTCTGTGGTTAGTCATCTCATGGGATTTCCCTATTCTGATTATCAAATAAACAGTTTTAATTCCTTGGCTTTCAGATGACTTTGTCTAAAACTAATATAAGGACTATTTTTTAACCCTGACTTAATAGGTATATAGATGTATGTGTGTGTGTGTACATATACATACATGTATGTTGATATTTTTTAGAGACAGGGTCTCACTATGTAGGCCAGGTTGTCTTTGAACTTGGGAGATCCTTCTGCCTCAGCCTCCTAAGTGCTGGGATTATAAACACGTGCCACTATGCCTGGCCTTGTAGTCTGTGTTTTTAGTATATATGTAATTAAAACAAAAATTTTATGAGTACTTATTCTTTTTTTTTTTTTTTTTTGCAAAACCAGAGATTGAACTCAGGCCCTTGGGCTTGCCAGGGAAACACTTATTCCACTGAGCCATTTCTCTGGTCCCAAGTACTTATTCTTAATTTTGGTATTTTCTGATAAAGTGGTATTACCTGCTGGGTTCACTGTGTAGGCCAGGTTGTCCTTGAACTTGGGAGATCCTTCTGCCTCAGCCTCCTAAGTGCTGGGATTACAGGCATGTGCCACTATACCTGACCTTGTAGTCTATGTTTTTAGTATATATGTAATTAAAACAAAAATTTTATGAGTACTTTTTTCTTTTTTTTTTCAGAACCGGAGATTGAAATCAGGCCCTTGTGCTTGCCAGGGAAATGCTTATTCCACTGAGCCATTTCTGTGGCCCCAAGTACTTATTCTTAATTTTGGTATTTTCTGATAAAGTGGTATTACCTGCTGGGTTTCAGCATGTAGTTTGAGATCGGGAAACCCTATTCTGGTTTGCTTAGGCTGGAAACATAGTTTGCAATGACCAGTTTCCAATAACTTGGATGTTAGGGTTATGGTTGCTAAACAGGTTCTACATTATCTTCTCAAGGAGAACATTCTTTTTTTTTTTTAATTGGCGGAACCAGGTATTGAACTTAAGCCCTTGTGCTTGCCAGGCAAGCGCTTATTCTACTGAACTATCTCCCTGGCCCCCACAAGGAGAACATTCTGATGGTAATAAGTAAAATGTAACAGGATTATGACTTTGTTGGTAATAAAGTCAGTAACACTAAAATATATGCTAAATTTATTTTTATTCTCAGGTGGCGACAGACAAGGTTGCAGAAAAGCTGAGTTCTACTCTCTCATGGGTGAAGAACACAGTATCACATACAGTCAGTCAGATGGCCAGTCAGGTGGCAAGTCCATCTGCTTCATTACACACTACATCCTCATCTACCACATTGTCAACACCAGCCCTTTCACCGTCTTCCCCTCCACAGCTAAGTCCTGACGACTTAGAGCTCCTGGCTAAACTGGAGGAACAAAACAGGTGAGTGAGCTATGTGGCATTTCTTTTCATAATTATCATACAAACTCAACTATAGTGAAAACTTTTAGGTATATACTCATTAAAAATATTTATTTTTTGACTCATTTACCAAACCTATCAAAGGTATTCAAATCTTTTTGTGGTAGGTAGGTTAGGCTTAAGACAGACAGAAGTTTTCTCCTAGTATAGATATCTTTTTTTTTTTCCATAATTTTATTGAGAAACAAATAGCAATGAGACAGTTTCAAACCAAATTTGCAGGACAGTTTCAGTAATTAACACATTGCATACATTCTTCCTACTGGTTATTTGCTGTATAAGATGCCAACATGATATCCTATTTACAAACACCATTAGAACAAATTCCTCTATTCATTAAGAGAATGTAACTATATATGTATCCTAACCACTTTGAATACACAGATACAAAATGGACATCCATCTGTATCCCCTTTTTTTGTTAAGTTCCATTATTTGAATATCAAAGGTGTGTAAACTCAGCAATATATTCTAAAAGAGTCCAGTAGCCCATAATAGTATTTG